TGTAAAAAAAAACTTACAGATATATGTTATTAATTAGGTATAATAATAATCCGTTATTTTGTTCATGAACTACATATTTGTTAGTGACATGGAACCACAACGTCGGCCCAGAATCGAACCCGGATCAAGTGATTGGAAGGCAACTATGCTGACCATTGCACCACCAACGCTTAGCAATTTTACCTCCATTCTGTCGTAGCATCTCAGTAGTTGTATAACCTTGAATTAATATTATTTTGGACCTTTGATTACCGGCGAGGGCGTAAAATATTTACATTTTGATCAAAAGCAAATTGATCAGCCAAAATACTTGAAAAAAAAATGTAATTTTTCTACTAATACAATATGTGATACACTACATATCAAAAGACACTTAGACATGGTGAACTGATAAAACTCCACACAAAATTCACTGCGTATTGGTACTCTTTGTGAGTATGTTTATTTGATCTCTAGATGGACTTGTCTCATTTAAACCGACATATGCCATTTGATAAGTTACCTCAAAAAATAGTTCAGGAATAGCTTGGCTCGGTGTGAAGCATTCTGTCGGCAAGAGAAGAGAAGAGCTGAGCTGGAAGGCGGTTACGAAGAGACTCGGAGTAGAGAGCTGATAGCTGTAGCTGACTTGTATCGTTTCTGAAGTATACGACCCGGAAGTACAAGAGTATAGTGAAATTTAAAGTTATTAGAAGCTAGTTTATTTTGAAGAATATTTTGTAAGTATTATTACAAGAAGATAAACAATATCTATAGTCAGGTGGGTGTCCCCACCACAGAGTTTCCTAGGCATAAGCCTAGGAAATCTATAAAATGACTAGAAATCAAAAATAGTAAACCAACAATGGTACGAAGTAAAAAGAATAAAAAAGAGAACAGGTTCCAGTCACTTACTGACCGGAGTGATATGGATACTGATCTTGAACTTGAAGAATTTACAAAAGTTAAGTCAAGAAAGCGTGGCCAAAAACAGAAAACAATGGAAGTCATACAGGGGAATAATGACACGAAACCTATAGCAGAAAAGGTACCACCAATAATAGTAAAACATAACTTAGACCTCAGGGCTATAAACTACATCAGAGACGTTACGAAAGTTAATTTTACTATACAATATATTAAAACGCATACCCATAAAATAAGACACTAGTAGATCATAACAAGATAAAGAGTACATTAAGAGATTGCAGTTACCAATTTTATACGTATTCCACTGAAGAAACAACAAAGAAAATCACACTAACAGGCTTACATCCAGCAATTACTGAATTAGAGGTATTTGAATTACTGAGTGTACGACGTATTCTTGTGCAAAAGGTCATACAATTAAAGAAAACCTATTCTGATGGACAAAAACATAATCTACCAATTTATGCTTGACAAATCGCAAGACATGTCAAAAGTAAAAGAAATAACAAACTTAAATGGTCACATTATTAAATGGGAAATGTATAAGCCAAATTTCAAAATCCTACAATGTCATAAATGTTTAAGTTTTGGACATACGTCTTACTCGTGTGATATGAAATATAGATGCATTAAATGCACAAAAGCACATTCTCCTGGCTGCTGCCAAAAATTATCAGAAGAAAAGCCCCAGTGCGTTAACTGTAAAGACTATCACCCAGCAAACTATTCAAAGTGTACATCCTTACTGAATTACAAGGCTAAAAAACAACAGATTCATGCAGCCATTGAACCTAAACCTATGACAAGAAGCTATTCTGAAACGCTGAAGCCGAGAGATGCCAGACACACTGTCCAGATGGAACTACCAAAATTCCAAGCTATTCCTGAACAAAGAAGTATACCATCAACTTCATCGAATCAAGATCTTGATTTTAACTCCACCGAGGGCATTTTTGCTGCAATAAGACAAATCAAGTTGCTTTTTCAGATCCTGAGGTAATAAAAATTTTCAGGGAACTTTATGCACTTACAAAGACTATAAATACTAACATGACATACAATAAAAAATATACTACAATTTTAAACTTTCTTACTAAATGCCCATAATTGACAAGTATGGTATAAAAATAATGTTTTTCAATTCAAATGGAATAAAAAATAACATTGATGAACTCAGACAAACGATCGTTACAATGGACTTAGACATCGTATTAATAAATGAGACTCACTTAAACCCACTGACAAATTATACATGAACGACTACAAAATATACCGGAATGACAGAAACATGACAGGATGGGTGGGTACAGCAATATTTATAAAAGCTTGTATCAGACATGAAGAACTACCGTTATTATCTGTAAAACACTCTGAAATTACTGCTCTAAATGTGTTCAATAGAGGACGTAAAATAACTATTGTCTCCATATATGTTCCTTCTGCAAAACTATTGCATGCAGACTTACATAAAATATTTAACTTAAATCCAAGAGTTATTGTAGCTGGTGATTTTAATGCACAACAATAATGTGGAATTGTAAATATAATAACACAAACGGACTCAAACTATTTAAGTACTTAAACAAAAACCATGATACCATTCAACTACATTATCCTCAGACTCCAACTAGATTTCCTGCGATACCAAATCAAGACCATAGTACAATAGATTTAGCCCTTACAAAAAAATCTATCTATTCTTTCTGAACCTATAACCAAATCTTTATTTAACTCAGATATAATCCAGTCTTTATAAGTATCTCTAACCCACTTGACGACAATCCTCAATCCTACAAAAATGTTTTAGATTATAATAAAGCCAATTGGCTGCTCTATAAGAAAATAATAAATGATAATATATGTCACAACAGACAAATCGATAACAATGATAGTATAGATCAAGCTGTAAAACACCTAACAGCTACTATTACTGATGCCATAAGTAAAACCATTCCATTGCGAAAGTCCACTTCAACACAAACAATTAGTTTACCTTTGGAAATTATATCCAAAATTAAATTAAAAAATCAAATTAAAAAGTTGTGGCAAAAATCAGGTGCCACGTTCCTCAAAGAACATTTAAACAGGCTTACTAGAATAATTACTGAGGACATTAGGGTTTATCGTAATAAAATATGGGCTGATAAACTAACAAATATTAACTATTATCCAAATAAAATTTGGTACACTGCAAAAAGACTGACCCAAACTTTTGCTCCCATACCATATTTACATACAAATTCCAATAACTTTGCAACAACGCCCGAACAAAAGGCCGAAATTTTAGCATCTAACTTCGAATTAGCACATCAGTACAATCTTTCTATTACTCAAAATGCTTTTGAACAGACTGTTAGTTCCAGTGTAAGACAATATATAAACAATACTTATAACAAAAATCACAAAATAGAGATAGTAACTGTTGCGGAAGTTATAAATATTATTAAGAAACTGACTAATAAGAAAGCTCCAGGACCAGATGGTATACAGAACTTAGCAGTTAAACAGTTACCTATTAAAGCTATTATTCTACTTACACGAATAACAAATAAAATTTTTACAAATGGATATTTTCCTGTGTCATGGAAATGTTCTAATGTGGTACCAATATTAAAGCCAGGAAAACAACCAAATCTACCACAAAGCTACAGACCTATAAGTCTATTAAATACAATAAGCAAAATAGTTGAAAAATTACTGCTTGTTCGATTTAATAAATTTTTAAGTGTTAATAACATCATACCAGAAACGCAATATGGTTTCAAACATGGGCATTCAGTTCTGCATCCACTAGCACAGCTAGTTGAAAATACTGTACTAAATTTTAACAAAAAGACACACACTGGTCTTGTACTAATAGATTTTGAAAAAGCTTTCGATACAATTTGGACAGATGGACTGTTGTATAAATTAATAAATTTACAATTTCCACATTACATAACAAGAGTCATAATTTCATATCTTAAAGATCGTACATTTCAAGTTCAAGTAAATAATAATCTTTCAAATCCTAAACGTATAGTAGCTGGAGTGCCTCAGGGATCCTTGCTAGGACCAACATTGTTTAACACATATATATATGATATCCCTACTGACAGCAAAACAAATACATTAACATTTGTGGACGATACTGCTGTGTTCACATCATCAAAATCAGTAGCGATGATAGCTAACAAGCTACAAAATCACATAGATAATATAGCAAAATATGCAGAAAAATCTCACATAAAAGTAAATCCCATAAAAACAGAAGCAATAATTTTTTGGAAAGGAAATAAGTTGAAAGAAAAGCCTATAGAAATAAAAATTTCAGGACAATAAATTAAATGGACAGATGAAGTTAAGTACCTAGGAGTAACACTTGACAGGAAACTTAACTTCAATACACATATAAAAAAGAAATTGGCGCAAACATATGGGCTTCTAAATCTTTTAAGACCATTATTGAACACAAAGAGTGTATTAAATATGCGTAATAAAAGAAGAATATATCTAACGTTGATCAGGCCATGTCTGATGTATGCTGCCCCAATATGGAACATGACAAATTAAAAAACTACAAATTTTACAAAACAAATCACTGAGACTAATACTGAACCTGATAGGTGACCCAACTACCGGACACTACTACTCAACAAAGCTCTTACACGAACAAGCAGACATACCGACTGTGATTAACCACATTAAGAAAATGACGGAAAACTTCTACGAAAATGCAAAGACCATACCAATAATAATATTAAACCCTCGGACAGTACACGCCTGACATCATATGGTACGGCAAATATCCAATGCCAACTACATTCTGGACAACACAAATAAGAGTATCTAATAATTTAAAGAATGTAAATTAAATATATATTTTAAGATTGTGATTTTTTTGAAGAATTTTTCGATCTTTCTTTTTTTTCGATCACAAACCATTATTTTTATTTTTAAACAAAATGTATAATTTAAAGTGGATAGATTGTAGTATTAAATAAGAGTAAAATACTTTTAGTAGTAAACTCATAAATCATGGTTATTGTATATTATATTGTAATATATTGTAATAAAACAGAAATAAACTAAAAAAAAAAAAATCTGTCGGCAAGATCATACTTCACAGGATCATTTCTGTAGTATGACTTCACAATCTCTTCACTTAAATGTGGAGTTGATGCGACCTCGAAGATGATTTGTAGCTTCGCACTCTGAGCGTGAGAAAGATGTTGAACTTCGTTTGGAGTTCGATCATCATCGATGACCGTTCGCCAAAGTTCTTTGTGAATTTTGGTCATGGGTGTGATGCATTCTGAGAGGTATCTTTCTAAACATCATATATTATGTTATCGGCATCCCAAAAACAACCACAATATTGCGTTTCTGATATTTTCAAATTATTAATATTTAAACCGAGAGGTTGGAGGTTCAAGCCCACTTGGGGCGTAAAATAAGTATTGTTTATACCCATTATTGTTCAATTATTATAATTAATGTTTATGCTATATATCGTTTACTCCTTCAATCATCAACGATACGACAGCAGCCTCCGTGGCGCAATTGGCTAGCGCGTTCGGCTGTTAACCGAAAGGTTGGTGGTTCGTGCCCACCCGGGGGCGTAAAATACTTATTATTTGTACCCTGGAATATTCAATGAATATTGTTCATACCAAATAGTATTTGATGATGATATTGTTCTCATATTTGTAGTTTACCCCTACTATTGTCAGTGACACAACAAGACCTTCCGTGGCGCAATTGGCCAGCACGTTCGGCTGTTAATCAAAAAGTTGGTGGATCGAGCCCACATGGGGACGTACAATAATTTTGATTTATACCCTTTGTTGTTCAATAATTATAATTATTATTTATATACTTTGCTTCTTCTATTATCGGTACACAATAAGATCCTCCGTGGCGCAACAGCCTAGCGCGTTCGGCTGTTAACGAAAAGGTTGGTGGTTCGAGCCAACGGCTTAACACTTTTGCCTCAATTTTATAGTATATATTTGAGTTGGTATAATTTTTTTTCTACCCATATTGAACCTTGCATTTAATATTAACAAAGTGCAACAAAAGTAAAATTTGATTCCGTCGGCCCGGAATCGAGCCAGGATCAACAGCTTGGAAGGCAACTATGCTGACCATTACACTACCGACGCCTAATATATAGCATTTATTATGATGTAATATCTTAAAGTTGTAACTCGATATTAAAAAATGCTGACCATTACACCACCTACGCTTATCATTTTTGCCTCAGTTGTATAGTAACAACTCAGCACTTGAATAATTTTGAGTCGGTTTAATTTGTTTCTACCCATATTGAATCTTGCATTTAATATTGACAAGGAGCATTCTACCTGTCCCATGCATTTTTCTGCTGGTAACAATATCTTTCATCAAAACAATTCGAAACTTTTTGATATGGCTTCATCCTCCTCAAACTACAACATTAGACAAACTTATTAAGGCGCGCACATATAAATTAGCCAGCTCTTTCAATACGATCGACGGTCTAGGTATTCAGCTTATAAATAAAACTTTCCCTCAATATCCAAACTTAGACAGAAAAAAATTCATGCTTCCCTAGTCAAACTTTTTAAAGAATTAGCTTTTTTGACATTACTGAATTTTCTCAATTTGATTTCAGTAACTATTTTCTTGCAAATCCTTATCCTTTATCTATGTAGTCTGACCATTTGATCGCCTGTACAACCATATTTTTTTTAATTTTTTGTTTGCTATTTTATAACATTTTAATTTTTACGGTTAAATGAGTTATAACTTTCAACCTTGTGCAAGAATTTTGAGCTTAACTGGTGATCAAATTGTTTAATTTAAATCACATTGTATTTATGTTTGAATGCTTTTTTTTTAGCTTTTTTTTCAGAAGCGAAATTCGTGCAGCTACTATGATTATTATAAAATTACTATCCTTTTAATATTAAACTATGAATAAGCTTGACAAGAGCCTGAAATAATATCTATTATTATTGACTACGCTTGCTTATGAATACATGAATAAATA